TGATGGACCGCCAAGACGATCATTAATTTTGTAACTGGCACAAAGGGACGGACCCCAACAGGGAGCTCCGAGTTCTAGGGAAACGAAGGCGTTAGAGTTGTGAGAATTGTCAATTTTTTGATACAGAGGAAGCAAAAAACAAAACAAAAACAAAGGAAAGCAAAAGGACACTAGAGGGATGGTTTTAGGTGGTTTCAAAAAATTCAAGAAATTGGGCACATGCAGTGCCAGATGATAAAAATTAGGTGCCACTTCCAAAGATCGTTTCGCAAGAGAATTAGCCTCAACGTTCAAAGCTTAAACAGTAATGCATAGACTCACTTTCTAGCTCTAGCTAAGCAACTCATGAATCTCTATGATAAGTCCATGATGCATATGGACGACCACATTCTTTCCTTTTATCAGGTTCACAACTTCTATGGCATTACTACGTAGAATTAGGGAGCGGCATCTATTTTCCCATGCGATCTTCATACCTATTAAACATGCTCATAGCTAAGCATAAAAGTTGTCAAAGGATTGCTATTATGATTCTTCAAGATTCTACCACAACCTGCTACATTTAACCATTGTGAAAAGTTTGTGATTTTAATGTAATTTATATTTAGATATTTTTTTTCAGAAGTTAATTAGACAAACAAAAACTTGTTTGAATAATTTAATTTAAAAGTTAGTTGAAATTATAATGACAAAAATAAAAATAAATTATCTTATATATATATACATATATATTTTTGACCAATTTGATATTTTTTTAAAAAAATATTAAACTTAAAATTGTAACTTTTTTAAAAAAATAGATTGCAAATATAAAATGTATTGATAAATCAAAAATCTTAATTTTTTAAAAAGTATAGAATTAAATGATAAAAAAATTTTCAATTGTACCTGAGTTAAAAGAAGATACCATATGATAAGAAGGGAGGGGGTATATTTTTGTGACTCATCCTAATATTTTCAGAAAAAATAATAAAATTTAAATTACAATTTTTAAAAAAAAGATGGAATTAAAAAAACCTAAAATATACTAGTAAATTAAAAAAATAGGAGATGTTAACGTATGGCCTCTTCTTTCTCTTCCAACATCATCACCTTCCTTTTTCTCCCTCTTCTCATCTTATCTTTCCATACCATCATGGAGAACAGCATGTAACATCTTAATTTTTTGGGGTTTAATTTGTTATGGAAATTGGGTAATTTAGATTGTGGGTTAAGGTATTTTGAGGTTTAACTAGAGAATAGTTTTGTGTTCAAGGTTATTTGAAATTAACAAGTGTTTGAATATTACATTATGACTTAAATTGAACTTAGATTGATATATCAAAGTGTAACAGGATTCAAAATAAGTATTGAGCTGAATCTTGCCCAATAATTATGGGCTTAACTAGAGAGGGCTATTTCTATGTTATATGCCGCAACGTATGGTAAGTTCACAACAACACATGATGCAAAATCTAGTTTAATACTCTAGTCACAAAGTAAAAAAAGAGGGAGAGATTTTTAAGAGGGTTGGTACAAAAAATAAGTGCTCTACTAGGGTTTCATGCAAGGTATTGATTGTGCTTAATTTGGAAGTTACATAGGTTCAAGGCAACCCTCCTAACTCATCCCTCATCATTTTAAGCTAGATATCTTCATAGGTGATGTTAGGGTTTTGATTTTAATACTACTCAGCTCTTAGATTTGAACTCTATGGGTGTTTTAAGGTTAAATATGTGTTGTTCAAATAGTTTTGAGGTTATTTATAGTAATAGGCATGTTGAATCTGAAACCCTAAGTTAGAAGATAGATGAATTTTTAATGATGTTGGGGTGCTATTGAGGTTAAATAAGTTTGTTATAAGTGTAATGATGATGATTATGAGTTCATTTGAGGGATTAAATGGTTGTAACAACTTTGGGTTAATTAGATTAATTAATCTAACTCTAGGATTAGAATGTGATTAGTGTATTGATATTTTGATTAGTGTTAATTAACACTTTGTTAACTATATTTGATATTGCATTGTATGTAGATTATGGTAGAATCACCATTGGAGGTGAAAGATTACTTTTTTGGAGAGCTTTATTAACAAGAAGCGAAAGTAACCATTTCGTGTATTTTGTGATTTCTATGTGTGTTTTTTATGTGTTTGGAAACTTAAATTGTATTTGGAAAATATGTTTAGTATTTGAAAAATTATTTGCCTAGTAGGATGCTATATATGTTTGTATATATATAATTTTCGGTATGAAATTTTGCATTTAGAAACATGAAAAAGTGTTCATATATGTTTTCTTGTTTGGATATGCTTTAATATGTAAGATTTGTTGGGTTTGAGAGATATGCGCTCATTAAACCTAATGTATAGTACCTTAACTTGGATTGACTTACCTTTTCTTGGGTTTGTTGGTTTCAAGCATGATGTAAGAAAGGATATAAGGTGTGTCATGCATTTTTATTCGGATTGTTTGAACAAACTATGTTTGGAAACATTTTGTAAATGCCCACTTAGCAAACACATCATTAATTACATTACATGATTAATTGCATTATTGCATATTAATTTTAGTTACTAAGACTTTTATATCTCACTCCTCATAGTTTAACATTTTACAAGAAAGAACCCAACTATAAAAACACCGAAGGAGTAGTTGGTGTACATGGACACCACTTGGCCTATTCGGCCTTTACTTTGTAAGGTTATGTGTTATTGCCAACCTTAAGGCATTTTAAATTTGTAATCAAGCATGTAACTCCTATAGTTTTGATGGCCACTTATTTGATTGCCATAAGTTAGATTTTTGTGACATTCATGACCTTAATACACTTAATCTTAGATGATTGATGGAATAGTTTGAATGAAAAATGTATTTGTAGTTTCTTAAGTTATTGCACTTTAATTATATTTTTTATGTTGGATGACTATAATCCAACTATGAAATATTGAATGTATATATTAATACGGTATTGTGAAATGTTTGTTTAAGGTAGGTTTGAGTTGGTCAAATATACTACACAATTACTAGTGGTGTTGGTTTTGGTTTATAAATGGTTAAGTGTTTGAAATATTGAGTTTTGGCCCCTAATGGGGAACAAAAAATAAAATCCTTATATGCAAGAATTTCTGTATCAAACTAGAGCCATTAGTTAGATTCAAAAATGAAATTCATATAGACATTTGAATCACTGAAATCAAATATGTGTTAAAAGTTATACCCATTTAAAATTTAAAAACATGTTAAATATTGTTATTGGTACCATCAGGTACTATGCATCGCCGTGCACATCAAACATGCCGTAATACATGGCATAAAGAGGGAGATTTTTTTCTGTGCTATCCATTGTAACGCATGGCAATCTTTTGACCAAAATACTCTTGTCTTAAATTTTGTTCCTCAAAAAAGGTCTCCTGAAACATTTTACTTCTATAAACTTATTTTGAAACAATTTAGCCTCATGGAAACAATACTTCACTTTTAATTACCTATTTTTTTATCATTGTATTGAATTTAAATATTTATTTTTAATAGGATCTCACTAAGTGCATTTTATTTAACTTAGTTTTTTATCAATAGTTATTTGTTCAAGTTATTTATTTCCTTATTTATTATGATAGGTCTATTATATTATATTTAATCTTTTCTTTTATGGTAAATCCTTTTCTACCATAGTAGTCCAATTGATAAATGCTTGGTTTGTAAGAAAATCTTTGTTTACTGTTATATATTTTTATAGAAGTAATTTCAACTTTTAGTTATCATAATGGCTCTTTTTCTATCATAGTAGAGTTTTAAAATTATCTAAGTCTTCTCTACTATGGTAAATCTTGGCAATGTTTTGAAAAGTAAGTTTGACCTTTTATTATCATAATATACTTTTTTATATTATGATATGTATTTAATGGATAAAATTCGTTGTAAAATTATATAATTTGCCAAAAAAATAATGTAAATTATATAATCACGCGGAGGATAGGACATGGTCTTTGTGCCCAAGTCGTTTGCATCTGATCCTGATCAATTGCAAAGCACCAGAGACAATATTAAGCAAATTCTCAAAAGACGAAGAAGTTTTGGTTCTAAAATTTGTTAGCAGAGTGCGTGGGTTGAGTCTGTGAGTGGTGAGCGAGTCTAACAAAGAGTCTTGTATATCTGAAGGAGGAGAGAGGAAGGAAATGCATGAAAGAAGCAAAAAATTTGCACAAGGCTAAAAGAGGTGATGATAGAACTTGTGAAAATTGAAGGCAGAGCAAGGAGACGAATAGTGATGGGGTGAAGATAAGCAGGAGAGAGAAAAATTTGAACACTTGTTAGAAAGAGAGCTCCCTTGGACAACTTCAACAATAACGCTCGTTTAACTTTTTTTCAATTCCAACATCTATTGAATTTTTTTCCTTCCCAATTGAAGTTGGGATGCTAGATTTTGCACGTAACCTTGAAATCCATGCTATTGGATAACGAGTGTGTGTTCTTGTGCGCTTGAGAAGAACAGAAGGGCAGAAGGGTGATGTCTGGAGTGGGCTTTTTTTGTTAAGGGGTTTTTTGCCTGGGGGTGGGAATGGAAGAACAGAAAAAAAATAACGCAGTCAAAGAAAATAGTCAAAATGGTAATCATGTACTGAGTCTTTACCTTTTTCCCCTCCAATAATTTTCAATGGCTCTTGTTAAATAGTGGAGATTCAAATCTTAATTTATTATATTATAAAGAACTAATCTCTTTTGTTAAACTCAATCCCATTGATAATTTAATACATTTTTAATAATAATTATATACGTTTCTTCATACACTTGGGTAAAATCTTAAAAATGAATCGTATTTCTCATAATTTACAAATAGTCTGATTTGTTATGAATTTGTGTATACTGACACTCGAGGATAACGATAGTAGTACGGGTAATAAACGCTGTTCACAGTCCAGAGGATGCTTCCTCCATAGAAGGACAATTTAAACCTCATCTTTCACAAGTAATCCCGGTAAGAACCAAACCTGTCATGCATCAGTATCACAAGGCCCAGGAAACTCACCCATAACAGTTGCCAAAGATTCTTAGGAATTTTGCAACAATACAAGCTCATCACCTTTATTGGTGTTACAAGTGGATCGCTCTATAATTTTCCCCAGTGTTTCAAAAAAAGCAAAGAGGAATTCAACATTTCCATGTAAAAACAAAAATATTTTAAAGAGGTGGATGATCAACCGATTAGCAAACAACATGGAATAACATTGAAGGTGCAGAATGTATGGGTTGCTAGCTAATAACAGATTAACCTAAACCAGTATTACCCGCATGCAGTTAAATTCCAAAATACTCAAGCTGTTGATGCTTTCTTCTCTTCTTCAATTCGTTTCAACTCTGCCAATCTCTCCGCCCATGCTCTTTCTCTTGCAACGGCTGCTATTTTACGCTCTACTCTTTTGATATTTTTCCTCCGTTTAGCCTCTTGCAGCTGAGCTTTCCTTTTCTTTCTTTCTGCCTGTTAATGCACAAACACAATCCATTGAGCATAAAACTACCTCATGGAAAGCTACTCTTAACACAAAATCAGACACAAGCACTTCTGCTTGATAAAGTCATATAAAGCCAATTGGTTTTAGAAGTGATCCTATGCAACAGCCTTTTCATTCGAACTTTGAAGAACAAAACAAGAAAAAGAAAAAAAGAAAATCAATTCCAAATATCGCATGGGTAATTGGTAAGTTTTGAGGAAATTACTCCATCCACCCTAACAAAACTTACAACAGTCTCCTCCTGGCATTCTAAAGCTGTCAATTAAGCTGGGTGAATTAATCCACTTAAGCATCCCCGAGAGCATCTCACACTACTCAATTTAAGACTTAACATCCTATACCAGATACCAGTTGATGAATATTCAAGTTGGACGGGAGATCTTCTACCAAAGTTAGCTATTCATATGAGAGAACCAACTCATTTCAGTATCCCCTAAAACATTTCAATGACTTCATGTTTCTCTATGAGGGACTTAGATCCCATACTATTAGTCCCCAGAATCATCCCATGGCAGATGGTGTACATATTAAGAGAACACCTTGTTCCGACGAAAATCAATTATTTGACATTTGTTATGAAAAACCAAAACACCTTAAAAGCTTAACATAAAAATCATGATCAAACACTAGGCCTTTGGAACCCGCAGACACATAAACAGGTAAGCTCTCCGTAGTATCAAATTGGATTTCCTGTGCTGTGGTTTTGGATTTAAGGAATCTACTGGCAGGTGTCAAATAATCGACCATGACCGAGATACAATAGTTCTAGAAATATATGCGCCATCTGCCATGACTAAATGGAGTTAGTTTTGCAGTGGGTTTTAAACAGCAGGAAATGCTTGTTTGGATTTTATAATTGGAGGAATGAGTGATTTGAGCTAAATATAGGGTAGGATGAGGTAATCAACATTGCAAGTATTTGTTTAGAATCAGAGAAAAAATCTTTGTCAACTGTTTATGCTTACAAGCTCAATACTCCAAGATCCAAAGCCTTCCCCGGGATCAAGAGATTCAAATATCTTTGATGTTTTACGGATACAAATCCCAACGTAGAACAGAATGAAAAGGAAAAGGCAATATAAACCAAAAATTGCAACAACAAAAAAAAAAAATGTTATGCAGGTGGGTATCAGGGAGACTTGGTGCTTGTCTTATGATAGATATTGAATATCTAGCTAGTTCCGCCATGCAGGGGAAGAAATCATTCCTATGAAGGATAGTAAACGGGGCTTAAAAGAAGTTTAGAAATCACACCAATATAAAAGCTCGGTGCTGCCTCATTCGTTTTTTCTCCTTCCTTCTTTTGACACTCCCTTCATTAGGTCTATTTGGAAGAATTGGTTCGCCCGGTACATACTTAACCCAAGCATACGGCCCTGCATCAATAAACCTTCACCAATTAGATTGAACGCGAAATAGTGGAATGTTCAGTGAATAAACTCCTCAGTAAAGTATTAACTCAACCACGCAAACATATAAACATCCGATTTGATAAAAGTCGATTGCAGATTGTTTTCCCGAACTAAAATTCACATGCTCAGCTTATTAAACAGTATAAGTTTGATTGTGAAATCAACGATAAAAAAACCGCTCAGAAAGAAAATTCTACGATTCAACAAAACGTTATTCCGTTGGTCAAAACAAAACAAAACAAAACGTTATTCAGCTCAGCATTGTTATACAACCCATGAATTTGGAAACCAAGAGGAAATTTCAGTGAGCATGAATGAAGTATAAATAGACAGCTAGCTAAAACAGAAACCTGGAGGTCTCATGCTAGCCCTCTTTCGGCGGGGCTTCTCAGAAGGACGTCTTTTAGGGAAGCGAGTGTCGGTCAAACTATGTAAATGATTCGAAAGAGGAAGCCATTGAGGATCTCTGGAAAAAGCTGGTCTGCCGAGAAAAAGGGATTTCGGATATGTGGAGGCGGGAAGAAATGGTGCGGGCGAAGTAGTAGGGATTCGTGAAATTAGGGTTCTTGAGAGAGGTCGAAAAATGTTTCTTAGAGCCCCAAAAGCCATAACTCTTTCTATTGCATAGAGTGCGATTCTGCTTCAAATGTCTGCGCCAATGGAGCAGGCGATCGAAATTAGAGCGGACTTGATAGTGTCGCCCTGTGTGGCTGTGTCGAAGAAATGAAGAAATGAAAAGAGCAGGGAGCTTCAATTTATTTTTATTTTATTTTATTTTAAGGAGGTGGAGATATGTGGGGCTCAACTGTGTGGCCCATCGATTTAACCCAACAAACAGCAACTGGATTTCAGGCCTTCTAATAGATGGAGTCAACATTTTTAAATTTATATTATCAACATTTACTCAACAAGTTATAATAATTATATATGTTTTAGAAAAATACAATAAAAATAATAATGCAATTTTTCACGTATGAGTCCATCTTGCACTAATTAAGTCGTGCGAGTATTACATTATAATTTTTTAAAAATCATAGTTGGAATATTTTGAATAAAAAATTATAATAATTATAATAAATTACATTTAAATTTATATATTTTCATGCAACTCTCGACTCTGATCGCTACAATTTTCCTGCATTACTTTCAGATATCAATTTTTTTTTTTGCCTGAAATGACTGCCTTTGATGAAAAATCAATCATTTTGATTTTACTTTTACCCCCAAAATTGTTTTTGCTGTGAACTTTGGAAGATCATTGTTGAATGAGATTTGAGAATGTAGTTGAGGAAGTTATTTATGGTGTTTAAGTAATTTTGTTCTGTGTTTTTAATAATTTAAGGACTTTTAGTCTTTTAGTATTTTTTTGGGATTTGTTTGATTCTTTGTCATCAGTTCACTAGGTTGGTCTCCGTGTCCCAAGCTAACTGCCATTGCCCAGTTCAAGCGATTAAGTATGAAAAGCCAAGCATTTTCTGGATACACCGGAAAAGTTAAACGTACCGAATTAGGTGAAACCACATTTTATATCCGTACAATTCACGGGAGCATAATCCACACTGTTTAAGAAAAATGGAAGAGAAGGGTGAAAGTTGAATTTAAAAAAAAAAAAGACAAGAAAAAATAAGTATATTTTTTAATTTCTTTAGTAACTTCTATTAATTATATTTTTATATTCCTAGTATAATATGAAAATTTTTTAGTTATTAGAATATATAAATATAAATAATAATTTATTTTATCTTCACACAATTTATTTTAGAATATACAAAAATTATTGCTAACATTTTATTTAAAAAATGCAAAGTATTTTTAACTGATTTTTGCCTCCAATAAAGTAGTCAATTAGTTTCAAACTAACACCATTTTTTTATATTTACTTTTATTTAATGTGATATTTTATTTTAAAATAAATATAAAATAATTTATTTATTACAAGTACTTTTGAAAAATTATAGCATTCACCTTCTATCCTAGGATCAGATAACCAAAGACAAATCAAAGGATGGTTTGAGTATTAGAAATTTGAGAAAACAAAATGAAGCTTTTGTAATAAAACTTTGTTAGAACCTACTGACAAATAAGTAAAGCCTTTGGGTGAAAGTTCTATAAACCAAATACAAGTGCAACTCGAGGCCTAACTTGAATATCAAAAAGCCATAGAAAGCATCACTAAATTGGAGAAGCATTTATGATTTTTGGAAGACTTTTGAGAGCAATGTAGGAAAAAAGATTGGAAATGGAAAAATCACTTCTTTTTGGGTTGACACCTTGTTGGAGATGAACATGCCTCTAATTGAGCTAATACTTGGGTATGAGGGCTTTATTGATAGAGAGGATAAGGTCTTTGATATTGTCAAAAGTGATAGTGATTTGGACATTGAGTCTCTAGTTTGAATCCCACATTGTAGCATGCTTGGCTCGATCACATCCATCTTATGAGAAGAAAAAAGAGGATAAACACCTTTGAAAATCATCCTCAGATAGGGCTTTTACTATCAAGTCTACTTATAAGTTTCTTTTTATAGGTACCCAACAACAACTAGATAGTGTTTGAAAACTTTTATGGAGATGGCTAATTCTTGAGAAAATCAAATCCTTGGTGGGGTTCTTCACTCATGGAAGATAGCACACAATGGACCTCAGATGTAGACAAGGATTCAAAATAATGATAGATGTCAAATGGGTTGCAATTCCAAGGAAGACTCCATGCATCTTCTGTAACACCTTCAAATTTACAAACCGATTTTTCGCAAATTATTAATTCAACAAATCATTTTTTTCATTGAACCCTTATCATAGTAGAAAAATTTCTACCATGATACATCCAAGATAATATACCACAGGTCTTAAAATATCTCAAAAAACAATTAGAACCATGAGGGACAGACATGATCCTCATAGCATGTTATTCAAATCAGGTCATGAATCAAAAGGGACAAACATAATCCTCTTGGACATATAAATACATTTAATAAAAAGGATTAGAGTTTACATGCTCCACAAAGAAGATATGTCCTAAGTTGGCACAAGATACATTGTATAATTCAAAATAAGAGGCAACATAAAAGATGGTGTCTCATACACCATAATTACACCTCTGGTGCTTTCTCGGCCGGACTCGCTCCTGTAAAAATATTAACCACGGGAAATGAGACTTAAAAGTCCCAATAACCAAAAATTAATATGTAATGATGCATGCAGATGTAACTAATCATGCGATTGCTAAGTGGGCACACAAAACATTTAACCGAATAATATTTTCAAACAAACCGAACAAGTCTTTAATTGCATGACTACACCTTATATACTTCTTTCGCCATGCTCGGACGCCAAATCACTCGGCCAAAGGTGAGTTGGACCAAGCGACACGCCACTCATTGGGTCCAATGAGGGCTTAACACGTGGTAATAATTAATCGAACAGAAATTTTTATTAACACCGTACATTAAAATACCTTGACAAGTCATGCATCATTCAAATATCCAAACAGGAATATATCCGAACAATAATATCTCATCATGATAAATAAAAATAAATTTTTAACCCACTTGGCAATAATTTCAAACAAGTATATAACAGTATTTATTTTCAATAATTTATAATTTTTCCAAACAACAAGTCAACACATAACCATTCACAAACACACTCATCACAACACATTAATAATGGTTACCTTGTGTCTTGAATAACAAGTTCCCCTTCACAACTCCTTTTTCACCACTATCTTTGTCAATATAATCTACATAATTATTTCATAATACTATATATTAATTTTACATTAAAATAAATAACTCTAATTTAAAGAGTTAGAAAGTCTTAGATCTATAATCCATATTAACACTAATTTAAGATTTATGCCTCATTTAACTTCTCAAATTCTTTTCTAAAATTCTCGTACCCTAATAAACTATTTTTTTATCCTCAAATTACTTCTAGTATCACAATTTCATCCTTCTATATTCTAAAAATTCGTCTAAAAATAAATTAAAAATTTTAAAATTATCCTGAAGCCTCAAATCACCTTTCTATAACCTCAAAAATACCTATTCATATTTAAATAAATATTTAATAATCAGATGTTCATCCCTACATCTCAGATTCGACATAAATTCAACTATATAGATCTAGATTTTAACTCAAAAATTCTTAAACATGAGTTTCAACCTCAAGAAATTATTCTATAATATTTATTATATCCCTAAGAGTTTTAACCTATATTTTTAATCCATCATATCATTAGATTAACTATCCTATAGAAAAATCCTAATCAAAATATTTACTCTATTCTACAAAATAATCATATTATTAGAAAGCTAATATTATTTAGAAAATAACTATAAAATTAATTTTGTACTTAAATAATTTTTTAAATGCTAATCTAAACAGGAAAGTTGGAACATACCTGAAGAAAAAAAAAATAATCTCCTCTTGCGAGAAAACGCAGAGCAACGTGAGAGGAAGAGAAAAAAATAATATAAAAATGGGATTGTGGTCCCAAAATTATATAAAAAAAACTATAGGTTTGAATTTAATTATTCAAACCTTTAGGCCATTACTTGTAATTTTTACAAATTACATCTTGGGCCCTTAGTTGTAATTTTTTACAAATTGCAACAAAAATTTCTTCATGCTTCCTCCACAATGCACCTCCTCTTTTTATACATGAGAAGGTGCCTTTCATTCCCACACTAACCGATGTGGGACTAATTCCCCTCCTTTTTTTCTTTTCTTTTTTTACTTTCTTTTCTTTTCTTTTCTTTTTTAACTCACACACACACATTAATTTTTTTTAAATCTTAAAATTATATCTTAATAAAATATTTCTTATATAATTTTAAACTTAAGTTTTTGATTCATAATTAAATGCCTAACCATATTATTATTTTCAAATAACCTCAAATAATATAGATTCCTATTATTATCATCTTTTTTTTAAAAAAAACTTAAATTTTATAAATTTTTTTATCTAAAAATTAGGATGTTACATCTTCTGTGAGACTACAACAACACCATACATAGATAGAAGTTGATTACTAGAGCTGATTAGCTAGAAAATTTTGCTCTCTTTAAGGAATGGGATGGGTAAAGTGGAACCTAAAAAATGAACAAGATTGTGTGGCCAATTCTCTTTAGTTACATATGTTAGGATATATAGGTCCACGAGTGCAAATATACCTTTGGTGGTGATGATGAAAGATGTACTTATAATGGTTTTTCTAGTCTCTTCAGGGCTTGTATAGACAAGGAACTAATGAGCAATTGCTTGTTATTTAATCCTTCTAGTAAGTCACAAGCATGGATAAGTTAGAATGGAGATGAATTTGTTAAGCAACATATTGATGACTCTGTCCAAAGTGATGGAAGCAGCAGTTGTGGAGGATATCTATGAGATGGCCATGATATATGGATTTGTGAGTTTAGCTTTATATTGATCTCTATCCCCCACAGTAGTGGTGGAAATGATTGATATTATGCAAGGACTTAACTTGTGTAGGGAAAGGAATTTACTTATAGGGGTAAATTTTTTAGTGTCTTGTAGCAATCAACCTTATCATCTATGGTTGTGACACCAACTATCCTTTTAAGGATATTGTTAACCAAGCTAGATCTTTTTTTTTTTATAGAGAACCAAATTCAGTTTAATTATGCGTATAGGGATTGTAATAGAATTGCTAATTACCTAGCAAGTCTACTCATTCGTTAGATGTTAACTCTTGCCTCTTTAATCATCATCCATACCTAGACTTTAAGAGTGGAGGATGATAAAAGAGGATAAATTTGTCCTTTTATTTTGATTTATGTTGTAGACTTTGTTGTTTTATTTTGATTAGTAATGCAATGCAATTTTTCATTAAAAAAACACATTAATTGCACCTTAAAAAGTTAAAAAAATATTACTCCCTTCATTAAAAAATACAAGATATTTTTAACTAAATCTTACCTCTCAATAAAATAGTTACTTATCTCTAAACAAACCCTGTCTTTCTTATTTATCCCTATTTAATAGGGAGTCTCACCTTAAAATAAATATAAAATGATTTATTTAATAAGGATACCTTTGGAAAAAAGATAATGATTATACTTTAAGAGACTAAAAATACCTTATAATTTTTAACATTCAATCTCTTAAAAAATGCCTTATATTTTTTAATGGAGGGGGTATATTTTTTAATACCCAACATCCAAATGCTTAAAGAATATCGTATATTTTTAAAATGAGGGAGTATAATTTAAATTTTAAAAATCTAAAACATAAAATATAATTTTAATTTTAATTTATGTTCTTAAAAATTAATTTTTTAAAAAATGAATTTAAAAAATAAAAAAATATATTTGCATCGACAGTGCCAATCCAAATCACAAAGGAGGAAGATTGTAAAATGGCAATATGGTCATGACAACAAAATTAGCACCCTGCCTACATGCTAAGAGGCGAACATATCATGGAGTCATGCACTTATATGATCTTTTGCCCCTAAACCAATCAATACCCTTTTGTTCTTTAACAACCTCCGTTGAAGGCACCTCTACCACCAAAACAAGAGATTCTTTACTCAGTTTCTTCCAAATCACATCGAACCACAGCCTGTTGCAATGCTCACGCACCAACTCTGTTCCTTATTCCATTCATGATATCTATCATCATTCCAACTATATTAGCTAACAACAATACAATTTACATTAAGGGGAAAAAACTACAAAGCTATTTTGCATAAAAAATAAAGAGGAACAGGTTATTATGCTGTAAGTACTAAAGGGAAAAAATAGCTTTGTCATTAGTAGGGGAAAAAGGGTGCAGGTGCCACCGGCGAAGATACTAACACTAGACACTTTTTTAGGCAAATACTAAAATTAAACATTCACAATCAACCTTAAATGCTTATTTTACTCCAGACTGCATATGTACGATAAGGTCCATATGGAGAGGATACAGATGCACATTATGTCAAAGTCAAAAATTGAGTAACATAAATTAGCCTTATCTATGTCATACATGTCAGACATCGAAGGAAATCAAAGAAAAACAATTTGATTTCACTACCACTTTCTAGCATGGCTTCCAACATTTTTCAACAAAAACCTGTATCATCTATGCAAAACTGTAAATTTTAACCTTGCATCTTAGAAGACCAAACTAGCAGAACAAAATGTATTCAACCAGTTTTGCAACTTTAGACTTTGGCTAGCAGAAACACCAAAGGGAACCTACACCCCAAGTGCACTTTTTATTTATCGCGTCTTTTATTAATGAACATGTCAAGCTGGTCAACAAAAAGAACATACCTACACAACCTTTTTTGATAGGCTTGTATTCTTGATTGTTTTGTCAGCTATACTATGCTTGTTCGGTCATGAGTCATGATGCTAATCAAGAGACAGAATCCGGCTATAGTAGAAGGAAGTAGACACTAGGCAACATCAACAGAAAAACCATCCTCATTCCTCAAATTTTCACGGTCATCAAAAAATATGCCTGCTTGATTGAACAATGAGAGCAAATGAACGAATTCCTCAAGAGACAATTTTGAAGGCCTCTTGTCTTCAAAGCCTCCTATTTTAAGTGCTTCAGTAATCCTTTCCTTCAACAAATTCATTCCTTCTTTTAAGGAAGGGGAATACTGACACTCTGCTTCATCTTCAGTATCACTTTTACAATCACCTTTAATGGAATGGACAAATTTTTCATCATTGAAACCTGTGATATTTGACAATCTCAATAACTTTAAAATTTTCCTTTTTTGCTTAAATGTCACTCCTAGGGTCCTGTTCTTTTTACTAAAACAAGTTCCCTTGAAAGCCCTCCACTCGTTGATATCCACATTAAGCACGTCAACTTTTGGATGGATTATAACCACAAAGGAGTCAACTTTTGGGCATAGAATAAAGTCCCTCTTGCTGACATCCATGATGAACTCCACGTCAGCCAGTAGTTTAACATTGATGGCCAAGCGATTAAATTCAGAGTCACTGAGATTAGCCAATAATCTTCAAGCAAACTCTTTCTGAAGTAGAAGAGTAGCGCTCTAAAATCGGGTAGTCTCATATACTAGTTTAACCACTACAGGTGAAGATATTCCGTAGGGAATGTTTGCTACCATAAGGTCAAATTGCGGGAATTCAGTTCTCAATGCATCCTTACGTATGACTTGGAAATCAATGTTCAAGATTACAAGCCTAAGAATTTAAGATCCTGAGTTAGGCATTTCATCAAACACGTAGTAGAAATGTAGTCAAACATACTAACAGCCCATCACTAAAGCCACGCTCGGCCACCCGCTAGTCAAGAACCTTCACCATGTGCTCGTCAATTTTGATGGCCACAACTTTATGGGCGGCTTCTAAAAGCTTTAGAGTGAGATTGCCTGTTCCAGGTCCAATCTCAAGCACTGTGTCAGTAGGCTTTATTGTAGATTTTTGAACAATGGTGTCAAGAATTCAAGGATTAGAGAGAATGTGTTGACCTTTGCTCTTGTAGAAAAATATATTCCTTTTGTCATCTCTACCGTTCTTCCTTGCCATGTCACCTTTGTAATCTCTACCTTGTTTATTGTTGGGATAGTAGTGATGGCCATGCACCGCAAAGAGTTGCCACAGTGAATGTAACTAGAGCTAATAATTTAAGCCAAGCCTGATGGGCCAACCCAAACCCGCCCGAAAAATTTAGGCCAGAGCTCAAAAAAGTAATATTTTTTATTGTTCGGACCTATTCCGGCCGCCTGAATAGGTCCAAGAAAATTCGAGCCAAGCCTGATCGGGTTCGGGCTTGGCCTGAATACCCGAATAAGAAAAAATAAATTTTTTAAAATATATATAATATAATAAATATTAATTATTTTTTTAAGTTTTATATCATTTTATTTTAAAATACCATATATTTGAGTATATTACTATAGTTATTTTAAAAAAATAAAAATATTTATATTTTCCCATTTTTATTATTTTTAATCAAATAAAATATCTTAAAATAATAATTAAAATATATTTTAATATTAATTTTTATATTTTAAGACTCAATTTTTTTCATAAGACTCAATTTTTTGTAAAAAAAAATTGAGGTATATACACCATTTTCTTGTCCAAAAATTATATTTTATATTTTTTATAAAATAAGATAATTAATTTTAAATTAAAAATAATTTTAAAAATAAAATTTGGACATGTGCGAATTTCCGGCTCTACTACTAAACAAACATAATAAATAAAATAATATTTTTAGATAATTATTTGATTATTATCCATGCCAGACTTAGTTAAAAATTAAGAATGAATTAAAGTAAATACCCTTTATATATAGGACTTAAACAATATAAAAGGTTAACGAAAAAAATTAAAAAAATAGTATTTTACCCATAATTAAATAATTTTATTTTATATAATATAATAATGACTATTTTTCTCATATTCTTAAAAACAAAAAGTAAAGTTTATCTAATAGTTATTAAAAACTTTGAATTAATCAGGATAATAATTTTAAATTAATAGTCTAACCATAGTTGAATTAAGATTAACTTGATCATAATTAAAATAATATGATTCAATTAAAATATATAAATATTTTTATATAACCATGATAAGGGCAATATTTAAATAAATAAGACATTAATTTACAAGTAAAAGAAACATTCATGAATAAATTGCATATAATATAATAAAACAGTAACAAAGCTACTTAAATACTTAATTACAAAGTTAATAAGTTATTATTTTTTTATTCCTTTCAAATTAAAATAATGTGTTATGCTTAATAAAATTATTTAAAAATTAAAATCGATTAAAAAAATATTTTTAAAAAAGTTTTGGGTATTCGGGCTGATCCGAATAAGCCCGAAGCCTGAAGGCATTAGGTCTGGACTTGACTATATGAGCTTTTTAGAAAGAGTAAGATTTTTTAAGTCCGATCCGAATAAGTTCGGTCCGCCTGAATTACTGGCTCTAAATGTAACCTGAGATTGCATCCTAGAAAACATCTTGAGATCTAAAGCATTCTCTGACAGTATGTTTTTTTAATTATGGGCGTTAATGGCCAGAAATCAGAAATGCTATTGCTCAGACCTCAGACAAGGAACCTCGCAATGGCGATGGCGATGGCCGACGAGATGTCTTCTTTGTGATTCGCGATGACGTCTTGCATGGGTTTGGGCCAAGATTATTGATTGCCATCACAAGCCCAAATGGCCGAAATCAAGAGGAAATTGAGCCGTTCATAAGCCCATATGAATTTCATTATTCTTCCCTTCCAAGGAGCTAAGGTATTTGAGATACGGTATTGTGCTTTTTAATGTGCGAGAATTTCACCATATTCCTGACCTGAAAAAAATTATTCTCAATTGTGTGTTTCTTTTAACCAGCATTTACAATTGTGTAAAGAACAGGAAAACATTAACTATCATGTTCAATTCGTAAAAATTAATAAAAATAATTTATTTTTGCCGATAATGAATACTCCAACTAATTAAGCCACGGCTTGGACTTTTATAGTCAAAAAGGACTATGTCGAGAGCAAAACGATATGATTTGATTAGTGTTAAGCAAATTGCACCTTGTCTCTGCGTCCCAGTGCATCATTATGCTATGTGGGTCTCAAACAGTCTCTGCATTAGTTTGTGCAGCTTTACATTCCGTAGAAAGTACACGGATAGAGCGGCCAGCATGATTATATGCTTTAAGCTTGTCTAAATATACTAATCATTCAAGCCAAATTTTGGGGAACCTGATGCTCATGCTACCAAAACCTAATAAAGAAACAAATAAACCTGAACAAGGCATGGAGTGAACGAATAATTGTTACGAGCTTAAGAGGACTATTAAATTTATCACCATGCTCTGCGTCATTTTGAATATTACTTTACCTTTTGGCTGTATTCTGGGTTCGAAAATGATTGAATCTTGCTTTGGTTTTTTTTAGGGGGGTACTCTACTGAGCATCCCAAACATGAAATAAGATTTTGTCCTATTGTCATTGTTCAGCGACCAACCTTCTAAACAAGCTAACGTAATTTTTTTCGTCCAGACCACAACATGGCATAATTATTTATGGGGGTAGAACTGTAGCAGTCCACTCCTTAGCTGCGATTCCCTCTTTATTGAGCCACGCAGTAAAGTTAAAATTTTGTATATATGATTATACCATTACTGATTTACTGTTACCATTGTCATCAGTTGTATAAAGGATTTGTAGTAACGATTAAAAAGTAAAAACTGAAAAGGAAGGGAGGGTCAGTTATGAATTATGACGGCACAATGATGTCACCCAAACATGAACCTAAATAGTGGCTGGCAATTCCGACTGGCTAGATTTATTTAAACTGGCTCAATTGGGGCCGGCCTAAATAAAACTTGAATAGCCAAGACAAACTAAGTCTACATTTCTTTGAACTTATTTGAATCAATCCAAATATTTAAATTATTATTTTTTTATTTTTGAAATTTAATTTTTTATTCTAAAATTAATTATTTTTATTTTATGAAAAATATATAATATATTTTTTTGGAATACTTAAATTATGTAGAAGGCCCAAACTTTTTTTGAAAAAATATATTTGAGTTTTAAATTTTAAAAATCAAAACTTTTTTTTGAAAAAAAATTATGTGAGTCTTAACATCTAAAAATCAATATTAAAATATATTTTAAATATTATTTTAATTTATAGATTAAAAATGATAAAAATATGACAATATAAATATTTTTATTTTAAAAAATCTATAATAATATACTGAAATACTCCCTCTATTCAAAAATATAAAGTATTTTTAATAAAATCCCACTCCCAATAAAATAATTACCTATTTTTTAATTAACTTTATCTTTTCATATTTACCCTTATTAAATACCCTACAATAAATATAATAAAATGATTTTCAATAGGGGCACATTTTTAAAAAAGGCAGTGATTACATTTTAAAAAATTAAAAATGTCTTATATTTTTAAACGGAATGAATATGTGACATCTTAATATAAAATAACTTAAAATTTAAATAATTAATTAATATTTTATATATTTTTAAAAATATAATTTTTTTTTTCTGTGATTAGGCTTGACTCGAAAAAGCTGGATGGCTCAGACATTAAAAATTGTGGTTGGCTAAAATTGTTAGCGTTATGTAGAGCCATGGGAAAGACCTTCGGTATGGCACCGGGTGCAAATTCATCCAACGCCCAGGTGGGGGCCACTAGCCCATCACGGTCCCACCGAAACTATGGGAGGGAATAAAGTTAGAATTCCAATTACTTTAGAAGAATGGTCTAATTATCAAAAGAGAAGCACATGGATCCAGAGGGTTAGTTAATTTGTAGACAGGAAAGTTCACTCCAAGCAACCATGAGCATCGAAACCTTGGCTGGTCCCAAAGTCCCAAAAGTGTGCAAGGCCAAGAATAGAGAGTAATGTGGACTTCCAAAAATCAAAATAAAAGTACACTGTTCTCAGTAAAATCTTAAGAGTGAAGGAATGTCTATGAAACTGAAAGCGCGTGCAAATTTCTAGTGAATCTAATTCTCTCCTTTTTTCCCAAAAAAAAAAAAAAGGAAAAGCAAAGAGAGAAGATTGTTCATTCAATTGGTAGATATCATTTTCTCAAGTCTTAACGGTCGCTCCAGCCATGTGATGATTAATCATTCTTATTAAGAAGTCTTACCTAGTAAGACTTTTTTGGCTTTTTTGATCCCAGGTGGCAAAGGAAATACTGGCCTAAGCTGAATGTACCGTACCACGTCGTTCAAGACCTTCTTTCATCTACTTATTTCATAAATGAATATATTACAGGAAAAATATAATTATAAATTCTTATAATTTTTTAAATTTTAAATTAGATCTCTGTAATTTATTTTATTTTAATCAAGTTCTTATAGTATTATTAATTAAATTATTAATCCCTGAAGGTTAAAATTTTAAATTTCTTCTTTAAAAATCTGAAATTAATAACTAATAACTTTTAAGTATTTATTCATAATTTATTTAATTTTACAATTAATTAATTAATTTTAATTTTCAAAATTTATATAATTATGATGTCTTATAAATAATTTTGACACATATATATTTTTCATAAAAATTAATGAAAAAAATTAAAATTTCTATTTAATAATTTTTTTGGCCAAGAGTATTAAATTAAATTTTCTATAAAATCTAAAAGTATTTTTAAAAAAATTTAATTATTCATTAATAATTTAAATTTTTAAATACTAATATATTTAATAGATCAAACTATAAGAGTTTGATTAAAATAAAATAAATTATAATAACCTAATTCAAAGCTGAGAAAAAAATATAATGACCTGTGAAATAATTTTCCCTGCATTATACATAGCCACAACATAATGTGTAAGGGTATTCAAAATCAATCAAAATTAATTATATCAAATCAAAACGAACCAAACTGACATAAATCGATCAAAATTGATTATAAATGAGATTTAGTTTGTTTGTTTGTTTTTTTCCAAATCAATTGGTTCACATTTTTTCTTTTAAAAACTTGAATTAAATTGAACTAAGCATTATTACATTGATTATATATATAT